CCTACAACACCCCATATTACGAGCCTTCCCCAGAAGAGATTCAAGATGAGGTAGAGAAAAAGGATGGCTCACCCTTGATCGTCTTGACCCTTTACTATTACCACGGGATTGTGTCCATGAAGGAAATAACTTTGACAGGGCAGTGACAGCTAAACAAATGGCGAAGTCTATCATAGCAGACAATGAATCCACGATCGGAGTCATTCTGGGGCAGATATCCTGGACTGTTTATTTCATAAGTTTAGTGAAATCATGGCAGCAGATACCAAGGAAGTGGAGCATATTAGCCTGGTTTTTTCTTTAATCAGAAATGCTTTATATTAACAAAATTGCTCTGTTGCATCCTTTTCTCTTTTGATGCAGACTTTTGCATCCTTTCAAAACCCAGAAGTTAGTTCTTGTATTCTGCTTGCAAAGTTTCTTACAGATTTGATTTCTTCTGTTACTAAAGAGAGGGGCTACATGCATCCCATCTTTTCTCTTTACGCTCTAATTTTTTTATAAAAATTTTTGTAAGTAAAATTATATAATTATCGTTTATCCTTAACACAATTTTTTGAAAATAAATTTTAGGAAATTATAAATTTTTTTGAAAATAAATTTTTGAAAAATTATATAATTTTTCGAAAATAAAATTTTTGAATATTATAAACTTTTTTGGAAAATTTTTTTTGAGAGGTGAGATGGTAAAAATTTTTAAAATATTTTAAATAAAATTTTTACTATCTTAACTTCCAAAAATGGATTTTCCAAAAATCATATGACTTTCTAAAAATTTATTTTTTAAAAAGTTAAAGATTTTTTAAAAATGATTTTTCATAGCTTTTTTGAGAATAAATTTTCAAAAAATTATAACTTATAACTTTTGAAAATTTATTTTTGAAAAGTTATAATATTTCAAAAAGTTGTGAGGAGAATAATTAAATAATTTTACTTTAAAAAAATTTTAAAAAAATTGAAATACAAAGAGAAAAAATGGGAATGCATTTTGCACCTCTCGTTAATAAATTAGTACTCGAGGTGCTTTCTGCTGAACATGTAATGTGAATCCCGTTCTTCCACTGAATTAAATCTAGTTCTAATGAGCATTTATAACAAGAAATATAGTCAAATCCAAGTGGTTGATACCATCACGAAGTAAGAATCCTAGAGTTATTAATAGCTAATGGAAATCATGATAAATGAAGCCTATACCAAAATTGACCAATTCATTTTACACATCAAATGTATATATTTTATATAACAGCATATATAAATAAATTTACACATAAATATTTATGAGGATAAGTCTTTTAAATGACACATAAGATAATTTTTTTAAAAAATAAAATAATTTCTTTTAATTATAAATTAGATAATTTTAAATTTATTTAAATATCAAAATTATTCAAATTATGATTGAAAATCAAATCAATTTAGATATATATATTCTAAAATTAAAAAAATGAAAATTGGATTTTATTTTTAATAAATAATTTTAGTTTTTTACCCAATAACTTTATTTAAAAAATTATTTAATTATCAAAATCTTTCAAATATGTTTAAAAATTAAAAAAATTAAGTTTATCCAAATCTTTCAACAACCTTTTTTAGCATGATTTAAAATTTTTTATTTAAACAATTATCTTTTTAAAAAATTTACGTAAGAGATTAAAAATTCAAACAATTTTATGTAAGATTTTGAAATTTTAAAAAATTTTCATCTTAAATCTTTAAATAATAAGATTATCAAAATGATTATATCCATTTGGACTCTAATTATCAAATTTATATTTCAAATAAATGCAAAAAATTTAATATTATCTTTATCACTTATTATATCCATTTTAAATTTTAAAAAATTAATTTAAAAATTATCTATTTATTCCTAATTGCCACTAAAAAATTCTTTTACAAATTTAAAACGACAAATATAATGTATTATACATAAATTTTTTTTATTTTTTCAGTAACTTTTTTAAGGTATATTTTATTATTATTGTAATTTTTTTTGTTTAAAAAATTTTTTTAATATATATTTTATTGTTATTACAAATTCATTCTTATGAAAAATATTTTTTTCATTTATTTTTTTCACATATTTTTCATCTTTTGTATGATAATTTAGTCAAGATTACTAAAGTGAAAATGTGTTAATACTTTTTTATTATTTAATTTATCATTCAATAATATATATTTTATTTTTTAAAAAAGACAATTTATTTTTATTTGATATAATTTTATAGGTGTATAAATATTATTGTAAACAAAAAATATCCAAAAGAAAGACATAATTTTTTTTTGTGTTTTTATAAAGTTTATTTTTTAATGATAAATCAATATATATAAATTTTGTTTATGTTATAAATTTTAAAGATTTGAATATAATTTTGAAAAAAAAACTAATTTATATATTTATATATATTCATATTAAATAAATAAAATTATTTCGTGCCTCGCACGGATTATAATTTAGTTCTATAAATAAGCTTATTAGATTAGGGACAAGATAATCCAAGGAAAATAATATGGTAAAATTTTTAGTCTTAAAATAGTCAAGGGGATCAACAAAGAACCAAGTAAACAATGGAAGAAATATTAGCTAGACTTAACAACTCAGAACCTCTGTACAATCCTCTTGCTCTTGGTTTAATTAGCTTATAAAACTAAAATAATTTGGTGACATGCTAATACTTAACAAAAATGCTAAAATGTTATGTAATCACAGATGATATACAACAATTATGAGATTTAAATTTTAATATCTATATCTCATTTTTATATTTTTAATTATAGTCTTATAAAAAAATCCTTTTTGCATTTAATAAAATAATTTTTTTGTAATATAAGGGCATTTAATCCCTTCACTTATCATAAATTTTTCAATAAATTTCTAATGATATTTACAATCATGTAATATCAAAATACACGCATGTTATGCTCAAAATGTCCAAAATTTCACCACCTAATGGTGTGTTAAGTCTATTCACGTAAAAACTCACTTCCTAATGTATAATTTGTACATGACATATAGATGGATGCTTGCCAAATTTGATGAATATAGTTTTCAAGTAGTCTTAAAAAAATAAGTTATCATTAGTCACACAATTATAATTGTATTTTTAAAATAATTATTAGTTGACAAAAAAATTATTAAACTATTAAATTTTTTATTTTAATCAATTAAATTTCAGTAAATAAATTTTTTTATTATCTAACCGTTAGTCTTTAATAATGTGTTGATGTAGCAATGTCGCGGTAGTTATTATGTACCACATGACATTATGACATCAACAAAATATATTTTTTTAAAATTTATAATATCACATCAATAATATTAATATATTGGATAACATGACAATGTTACGTGACATTTGACAATTAAAATTGTAATGTTACATGAACACATCAATAAAAACTAACTATTAAATGATAAAAAAAAATACTTAATTAAATTTCAATGACTAAATTAAAAAATTTAGTAGTTAGGTGGCCTTTTATCCTAAAAAATAAATACATGTTAAATGCTTGAATTAAAATATTCTTTAAATAAGGAGTAATATTATACATAATATTTTTTTTTTGAAAAAAGTGATAGTGATAGAGTTTTTTTTTTTTTTTTTGTTTTTGGATAAACTTCATAAATGTATCATATGATTAAGAGCGGATTGAAAATGCCCTGAAATTTAAAAAATAAAATTTAATTATCTTATAATTTATTTTATTGTATTTTTATCCAAAGTTATTACTTTTTTCTTTTTTTTTTTTTACTTCTTTTTCATCGTTACTTCATTCTCTCTCAAAAATCGAATAAATTATTTCTCTAAAATCAGATAAATAAAATTCTCCATCCATCCATCTTGATATGAAATCCAACTGAACTTTTTTTTCATCAAAACTGCAAGGCTAAGTTGAAGTCGAGGAGTTTTATGAGACTCAATGTTGCCAATACCATATATCACCACCCGCAATTTTAACTCAGATCCCAAAACCCCGTGAAAATGATCCAAAACTTTTAGGCTTTCAATTTGATCCAAGAAAGTCAGAAAAAAATAGAGTTTTCAATTCTTTTCATACAGATTTGTATCTTGTGCATAAGCTTTGATTGCCTCTTCGGATCGATCTCAAGAGTGGTTGGAACCCACGGTTGTTGTTCTTGTTGTTGTCCATTTGCTATTGTTATTGTTTGGGAATTCTTTCTATGTCTACCCCTATGGGTAAAACAATTGACCACTTTTCATTTTGAGTATGATTCTCAAGGGTGACAACTTTTACATAAGCAACCATTTGCAAAATAAGGATTCTCTCTATCTTCTACAATCCAAAATTGCTTTTTTCTCAAAAACAATTTAGTACAACCACAATTAAATCTTGGAGAGTAACGGGTGGTGCAAGATACTGCATCAACTGTTGGTAAAAACTTTTCTCCCCAATTGTGAGAGATATTGTAACCATTATCATTATAGTAAAAATAGAATCTTAAATCAGATGTATATGTAGAAGTTTAGTGGGAGGAAAACAACACAAATACACAGGTAAGACGTGCTTGCATTTAGCCATTCCAAAAGTTGAATTACATTCTATCATTTTCTTTTTTTCTTCTCCAAATTGATTTACAGAGTCCAAAAGCTACTCATCTTGCATGCAAGCATGCAAGATGAGTAGCTAGATAAACAATGATTTGGAAATTTTCATATGTTTTGTTTTAAAGAGAGAAAATAAATTGATGATGAAAAAAAATAAAAATATAATATTTTTAATAAAAATATAATAAAATAAATTATAAAATAATTAAATATCACATTTTAAATTTTACGAACACTTTCAATCCGTTTTTAATCACATAGTGTATATATATATTTTTAATCACATAGTATATACATACATATATATATATATATATATATGAAATTTACCCCTTTTTTTTCTAAAAAAAAGCAAATAGTAGTGTTAAACTCACGAGAAATTAAACGTAAATATGAAAATCAGCACACGCACCACCAACCCTCAATATCTCACGAAACGGGACCCACCCGTTTCCAGCATCGTCCTTCACCAACAACTTCCCGTCTCACCTACCCACAAATCTCTCCTCCTTTTTCTTCTTCAGACAATGTTTCTTCCTTCCCCAAAAAACAAATCAGAACCTCCCTCTTCCCTTCTCGCCTAACCCCCATCCAAAACCCGAACCCGAAACCCGCCCCATGGCATGCACGACAAACGCTTTCTTTCTTTCTCTCTCATCCAAGCCCAATGCCAAGTTGTCGTCTGACTTCAGCCCCAACTCCTCAGACTTTTTTGTACGGCTTAATAAACCCGCCAAGGTTTCTCTCCGCAGTTCGAGTTACGGTGAGTTGAATCCAGGACGAGTTGCTTTGTCCAGACAGAGTGGACTCAGGGGGAGGATTTGCTCGAAGGCGACCAAGATGATGGATCAGTCAGTTGGTGAAAAGAGCTCCAAATCTCCCACTATTGTTGAGGTGGATTTGGGCAACCGGAGCTACCCAATCTACATCGGATCCGGGTTGCTTGATCAACATGAACTTCTTCAAAAGTTAGTTAATTCATTCATTTGGTTTAGTTTTTAGCTAATTTTTTGCAAAGATTATGCTAAGTTGTTCGCCGTATTTAGTATTAATGGATTGTCGTTTTGATAGGCATGTTAATGGAAAGAAAGTTCTTGTGGTAACTAACACTACAATTGCTCCTTTATATTTGGATAAAGTCGTTGATGCTTTAACAAAAGGAAACCCGAATGTTTCTGTCGAAAATGTGATATTACCTGATGGAGAGATGTATAAAAACATGGTGGGTTTTCCTTTCTGTCTTTTTTTTAATTAACATTTTGATTTTGCGACATTGTTGCTGTTAAACTCAATGGAAGTAATAGTAATGATTGTGCTTATAGGACACTCTCATGAAAGTTTTTGACAAGGCCATCGAGTCGCGATTGGACCGGAGATGTACATTTGTTGCTCTTGGAGGCGGTGTGATTGGTGACATGTGTGGTTTTGCTGCTGCCTCTTTTCTTCGTGGTGTTAATTTTATCCAGATTCCTACTACTGTTATGGCACAGGTCTTTTGGTACACATGGCTTATTTATGTATAATCATCACATTGTGTGCAAACATATCATGTTTTTGACTTTGTTATTATACACAGGTGGATTCTTCGGTTGGGGGTAAAACTGGCATAAACCATCCCCTCGGGAAGAACTTGATTGGTGCTTTCTACCAACCACAATGTGTGCTCATAGACACAGATACATTGGAGACATTGCCAGATAGGGAACTGGCATCAGGTTTGGCTGAGGTTATAAAATATGGGCTCATCAGAGATGCTGAGTTTTTTGAGTGGCAGGAAAAGAATATGGAGAAATTGATAGCAAGGTATGCAAAACTTATTGAAAGAACTGTAGTTAAACATATGAATAAATTGAAGCTTCTTTTGAAATGTGAAACTGAGAGAACTTTTGGTAAGAATTGAAATTCAAAATGGTGGTTGTCAATTTGTCATTTCAAATCTTCTTACTGGTGTGCATTGTAATATTTTGGATGTGTATACCTCTTCTTGTCTACTCCAACCATGGATATTATTATACTCTGGTGCTTTCCTTATTATTGCAAGCTATATTTCTTCAAGCTGTATGTAATCTGGTGTTGATCATTACAGGGATCCTAATGCACTGGCTTATGCTATAAAGCGATCATGTGAAAACAAGGCTGAGGTTGTGTCATTAGATGAGAAGGAAGGTGGATTGAGGGCTACACTGAACTTGGGTCACACATTTGGTCATGTAAGTTTTATATGTGTGCTACTGGTTATATTACATTTTAGCATGCAAAGGGAATGTATTTTTTTCGTTGTTGGTGCATTCATATGCATTTTTTTTTCTTTGCTTCTGAGTATAACTTACTGAACTGAAGTTTTATAAAGTATCCTTGATCTTATTTGGAGTTTATGTTATGTGACTGCATGGTATGAAATCCCAAAAATGAAATTGTGAAATGGTTGTAAAATTGTATAATAATGAAGTTACTCACAACTTGATGTTTCATGTTGTACCAATTATACTCTTTCCTTTTGGTTTGGGGATGGGGGGTTATTTTGTGTTTAGTTTTGTTGGAAATTGTACTTAGTCTTAAAGGGATCTGTATTTTCACCAGATTGTAAGAACTTTTTTTTTCGCTGATGTCTTCATATTTCTTTCCAGGCAATCGAAACTGGGTTTGGATATGGACAGTGGCTTCATGGAGAAGCTATTGCAGCTGGCATGGTATTTCGTTTGTTATTGCATTTTGTTATCCTCTTTCCTGTCTGTACTAAACTTGATTGTGTGCAAAACTCAGGTCATGGCTGTTGACATGTCATATCGCCTTGGTTGGATTGACAGTTCAATTGTCAAACGAGTTAATGACATTTTACTGCGGGCTAAGTTACCCACTGCTCCTCCTGAAACCATGACTGTGGAAATGTTTAAGTCTGTCATGTCGGTAAGAGAGCCAAGTTTTATTTGTTCTGTACATCTCAAATTGCTTTCTCTAACACTTGACGAATAAGTTTTATTTGGTTATGGCAGGTTGATAAGAAGGTAGCTGATGGGCTGCTAAGGCTTATCCTTCTGAAAGGTCCTCTTGGCAATTGTGTTTTCACAGGCGAGTATGATAGAAAGGCCCTGGATGATACACTATCTGCATTTTGCAAGTCGTAATTCCAGATTTACACAATTATTCTTCCAGATCCTTGGATCGCGTATCTTAATGCTCATGCTAGTAATTTTTATTGTACTCTAGGATTCTTTCTTTTCTTGAGCTTCGTTTGCAAAAGGCTTATACCCTGTTGTAATGTTAGTATTTATGGTGGTCAATAAAAAAAACAAATATGCTAAAGTATTTTTGTATCATTTGATTTAATTATTTGCTTACTTCTCTCTTGGATCGCCATTTTCATTCTACTATTTAAATGTGGTTTAAAGGTGCTTGGAAGGAAAAGACACTTGAATTTTACCATTTGAGGAATTTACACAACAGTTTTGCATTCGGGGAGGATTCGGATGGAAAGTAATGAAATGGAGAGAGGAATTATTGATTCCCCCTGGATGTTACAGTTTCTGGTACTTTAGTGCTGTTATTCATCAAGAAAGCTGAACATTTTAGATCAGATCTAGGATTTTCAGACAGTTAGACACAAGCCTGCAAGGAACACCCTCAGTTTATTACGTCACACTCGTTTCCAGCCCCAAGCAACCATCATCATTAACACTAGTAAAGAAACGAGTGCTGCTAGAAGCACTAGGTTTGGTATTTCTATCGTAGCATCCCTCTGAGAATAGCCACTAATTTGGGTTCAATCCAATATTTCTAACCATGATTTTGTCTGTTCCTAGAATTGCTGTTCAAATGCCAAATTCAGTCCATTCTCTAATATTGTACAGAAATGGAGGCTCATCCTTAGCTAAAGAGACCAGAAGAGTCTGAAGCATTCACTGTCATTCTACTTACTGCCAAGTCTAAGGGATAAGGAAAAAAAAAAAAAAAAACACCAAGCAAAATCAAATACTAGTAACATCTGGTTTGGGAGCCAATCTTGGATGATTTTGTTGTGTGCATTTAACTTACTAGGCTATACTTTGAATTTTCCTGGTTCTTTTTTTCTTTCTTAAATTTCCTACTCTCTATCTCTTTTTTCCTTTTTTTTTTAATCATGCTTTCTCACTTTTTCAATTTATGTTTTAAGATGATCTGTACGTCCCTTATAGGCATGAAAGTTTCCTTTTTCCTGTCTAGAAAAAGTGACCTTTTCATATTCCTTTGAAGAAGATGATTTTTTTTATCTTTTAAAACTAATATATCGTTACCAAGGTATAAAGAGCTATAATTGGGTTACTTGACTACTATTGCCTATAATAGTTTCTAGCCTTTGTTTGTCAAAGTTTTCTAGTCTCTAATTAAGTTCTATAAAAATATATAGTAAGCTTGTAGAATTATTTGAATTAGGATCTTTTGAATCAATAATCAAATCTGTCGTATTTGTTTGGGAGTCGTTAGATGAATTTGAAATAAATAAAGAGTCACCAATAATATTTTTTGATCAGGTGTGAATGATCACTTATTAACACGTATTTCTTTAATAAAATTTTAAAATAAATTAAAATTTATTAAAAAAATAATTTTATGGCCTACAAAACATTTTAGATTTGAGAATTAATTATGTATGAAAAGAGATTAATACCCTCACAGTACTTATTTAAACGGTATCAATTAATTATGTGTTATTCTTTAATTTTAACAAAATGATCTTAATCTGTTGTTTAAAAATAATTTTTTTAACTTCTTTTTATTTATCATAGTTTTTTGGTTTTTTATTATTTTTGTTATTTTTGTTAATTTTTTATTATTCTATTTTATTTGAGAAAAATAAATTAGAATTTTGGCATTAAAAAAACTCTTAAAATATTTCAATATGTTAGTAATATTGAAAGAATTCTTTTGCACCTAAAGATTTCTTATATATCATTGCTTAGATTACCTTAGAATTTTGTTCTTGAAAACTCGTGTTTATTTTTTAAAAATTTGATGATATGTATGCAATGCAAATAATGAGATGTTGGTCCAAATATTTTATTTACTCATTTTTTGGAAAAAAAGACTTGTTTATTATTTTTATTTTATTTATTTATATTTTTATAAGAAAAAAGAAATTTTTATTGCATTAAGAAATTTTTTATAAATATTATAATACTTAGTAGTATTAAAAAAAAATTTTTACCTAGAGATTTTTTAGGTGCACTACTTAGATTACCTTAGAATCTCTATTATCGGATAAAAATTTTCTTTTTATCATTTTTCTTTCTTATTTATTTATTTTTATTATATTTTTTTCATTTTAAAAAATATATAAAATTATCAAAAAATTAAAATTTTTTAATCTTATTATTAAAATAAAGTGATAAATATAAAAAAGTAAAAAATAATAAAAAAACCTAAACTGGCTAGTCAACGATCTGATCATTGATCTAGGTAGTTTAGTCGATTTGGAACTATTTTCTTGTGGTCTAAAGTGATTTTTTGGTGATATGGAGTGATTTTTCCGCAATTAACCAATTTTTCAGCGATTTGGTTAAGGTGGTCGTAGCCCAGTGGGATCAGTTCCTAATTAAAAGAGAGATCAAGTCAAGGTCATGTGTGTGGGTTGGGTCAGATTGAATCGTAAATATTTCATTGATGCAAAACAACATGGTTTCATGCTTAGTTTTTTAAAATTTATTATTATATAAACCAACTTTTTTTCAAAACATTTTTATCTTTTCTTTCAAAAAAAAAAAAATCTCCCAGTCAAAAACTGGGAAATGATTGGCCTCCGTCATCCTCTGCCATGATGTCACCATCTACCTTCGTAGGTTGCTGGTCGCTGATGCCAGTTTAAGCCCAAATTTCACCACTAAGCTCTTTTCAACTGCCTCTTTCACCTTATCTAATTAGATTTCCCCAAAAATCAATAGACATCCCTAGATTTAAGCCAAGAACCAATGGGTTTTAAAGCCAAAACCACTTTTTTACGTCGTGTTAAACATCTCGAGCTTCCACTATGTTCTTTTGCCTATCTTTAGCTAGCTTTCTTTTAAAATTTTGGCTTTGAATCTCTTTCAAAGTCTCTAACACTGAAACCCTATTGTCTAGGCTTTTTTCTTTTTTATGGGCTTTTTTGTTGCTGCTCCTCAAAAGGGGATGAGAATTGTTATTTGGCTTATAGTGTGTTAAGGCATTTGGTCCTCTGGTAGAATGGGTTTTATTATTGTTCGATGATGATGGGTTGCGTTCAGGAATGCAATGGGGGTGAAAAAGATTGGATGATAATGTTAATGGGGATTGATTTTTGGTTTATAGGGATATGGGCTTGTGATTTTTAGGTAGAGTTTTTTTTTTTTTTTAATCAAAATTGGCCTCTTTTTTGAGTTATGTGTTTAGGGTTTAATACGATTGATATTGAACTATTCTTTTAATTTTACATGACACTTACTACCAATTTTGCAAAACCTTTTTTTTTTTTTAATTTGTTTCAATTTTTTAACTTTTCCAAATTTTTTTATTTCTTTAATTATTAAAATTTAATTAGTAATTTTGGGCCTTAAATTACAAATTAGGCTTTGGGCTTTCAAACACAACCAACTTAGACCGAATCATAAACCTAGAAAATCCAAAACAAAGTTCAATTAAGCTTAATAAATTAAGAAGTTTGAATCTTTAATCAACCTATCTCGACAATTCATAATTAAATTGACTTTGTGGAAATTTGGGTGTAAGCTAGAATATCGAATTAATTTAGAACACGAAATCACTAATCCAGACAAAATTAGGTGTTTACAGTTATCTTTCTTTACCTATTATTGAGAATCGAAAATAGGATAAAGAAATAGGGAATAATTTTATCCAAAGTCAACAATTCAAAGATTTTTTAAAAGTTTTTTTTATTTTGTTTTGTTTTGTTTTTGTTTTTTTCGAACTTTATATATTTTTTTATTTTTTGCATTTTTTATTTGATTTTTTTTGAATTCTTGAAAAACTCCTCTCATTAGAAATTCTATAACTTTTAAAAATAAATTTAAAATCTCATTTCATAAGAGATTCCATAACTTTTCAAAATAAATCTAAATGAAACTTAGATATCACCACTAAAAAAATGAGATAACTTCGAATATTACTATCGAAGAGAAATTCAGATATCACTATCTAAGAGAAAATCCAAATGTCTTTAGCTATCACCACCGAAAAAGACTTAGACATTACCAACGAGTAAATACAGATGACTTTAGATATCATCACTGAAGAGAAAATGCAAAAGTCTTCGAATATTATCATCGAAGAAGACTCTGATATCACCATTAAGAGATTTTAACGAAATTCAAACTTGAATACTTAGATATTACCATCAAGTGATGTTAAAAAAGGCTCAGACATCACCACTAAAAGATTTTAATGATATTCAAATTTAGATATTCAAATATCACCATCGAGTGATTTGTAAAAGGTTGGATATCATCATTGAGAAAATTTTAATGATATTCAAACATGAATACTTGGATATCATCATCGAGTGATTTTGAAAAAACTCAAATATCACCACTGAAAATTTTTTAATGATATTCAAATATGAATACTCGGATATCACCATTAAATAATTTTTAAAAAGGTTCGGATATCATCGTCGAAAAAATTTTAATGATATTTAAATGTAAATACTCGGATATCACACCAAGTAAGTTTTAATGAAAAAGCTCGGATATCATCACCAATAATTATTTAATAAAAATTCTCACCGAAAAAATGAAATTCAAACTTTAATACTCAAATATCACTATTGAGTGGTTTTGATAAAGGCTTAGATATCACCATTGAGAATGTTTAATGAGATTGCGATATAAAAACCTTATTTTTCGCTCTACTCGTCTTCATTTTTCTCAATTCCTTTCTTATTCTTTCTTTTTCACAACTTCAAAATACTTGAATTTTCTCTTTCATTTTTCTTAAGGTTTTCATGATTGACAAATTTAATTACACCTGAAGGTGCAAATGCCAATGTTTCTATACAAATGCAAATGCCACAAACATGCATTAATCATTTCTTATGCAAATACCACTCATAAAAATGCAAACATAAATATCCTACTAATAATGAAAATGTTTTTTCTTTAACAATGCAAATGCTCTTTGTGAATGCAAATGTAAAATTCATAACCAAGGATGCAAATGCTAAAAAAAAAAAAAAATCTTTTTGTTTGCAAAATTCTTTTCTTTTCAATTTCTAGTCATTCGATTATTCCTAATTTCTCATCAAATCATTTTTTATTTTCCAAAAGATTTTCCTTTTCATTCATTTACATCTTTCTATCTTTCTTCCTATTCCTTTATTTATTTTCCTTTTTGTTTCCCTTATGATTTTTTTTCTTCTCAACCAAGATGTATTGACTCATTTTCACTTAAACTTTCTATTCACATTCTGAAACTTAATCATGCAACATACATATGATCAGTGCTAACTTTATTCCCATAACAAATTGAAGGAAACAAAACAACTATGGTCTTGTTACT